CCCGCGGGCTCAGGCAATCCACTCACCTCAGCCTTCCAAAGGCGCGGGATTACACACTGAGCCACCGATCCCGGCTGAGACCACATATTTTATACTGCAATCTTATTCCTATCAAACGTCCAGAATAGGCAAATCTATAGAGACATAAAGTTGTTGCTGCCTTGGACAGCCAGGGTGGGGGTGGGGTCGGATGTGAAGATTGGGTGATTAGGGCTAATGGGGCACTGGATTTCTTTTTGTGGTCATGAAGATGTTCTAAAATTGACTTTGGTGTTGGATGCACAACTCTGTGAATATACAAAAAGTCACGGAATCGTACACTTTAAATAGATTAATTGCATGCTATGAGAATTATATCTCAACAACTCTAAAGGCCAAAAGAATGGACACAATGCATTACAGGAATAGACCATCTTGTGGATTAACAAGTTCTCTCCCTCCTGCCCTCCCTCTTTTCTTTCCTTCCTCGGTGGGTATCGTTATGTTGCCAGGCTGGACTCGAACTCCTGGACTCAAGCAATCCTCCCCCTTAGATTACCAAATAGCTGAGACTACAGCAGGTTTGTCTTTGTAAATATGTGTGTACCCCGGCAGAGGACTGAAGAAACAGGGAGAAAAGTCTGTAGAAAAGCATTTGAGTTTAAACCTGTAATCCCAGCACTTTGGGAGGCTGAGGTGAGTGGATTGCCTGAGCTCGCCGGTTCGAGACCCACCTGGGCAACTTGGCGAGACCTCATCTCTACAATAAACCAAAAAATTAGCCGGAGCGTGGTAGTGCGTGCCTGTTCCAGCTACTTGGAAGGCTGAGGCGGAAGGATAGCCGGAGCCCAGCAGGTGGATGCTGGGGTGGCCATGAGCGTGCCACTGCCCTCCAGCCTGGGCGACTGAGTGAGACTTCAACTCAATAAAGAAAGGGGGGGGAAGCATTTGATACGCACCCAGACGCCTGTACCCCCGGCCTAGGATGCGATTCCCCGTCCTCCTGGGACAGAGGTCCACTCAAGCCCCGCCCCCCATGCCCCCAACCCGGCCCTCTGTACTGGGTTCCCGGGTCGGACATCGCCCTCCCAATATCGACGGCGTGGTTTGGATCTAGGTCCACCCCGGATGGGGGAGGAAACTGGGACGTTTCTGTCCGCATCCGGAAAATGCAGACTGCCGGCTCACGTCTCCGCTTCGGGTCACCCAGATTTCGGAGCTCCTCAGGCTCCGCCCCCTACGCTAATTACGGCGAGGAAACCGGAAGCGGAAGTGCGGGATCGAGAGCCTGGATCCTCTCCCGCCCTCCGCTCCCTCTGAGCTGGGTTTTCTGCTCGGTCGGCGTCAGGGCCCCATCCTTGGTGGGGCGGGCGGGA